AGAGGGTGTATGGGGTCAGGCGTGAGAGCGACGAAGGCCCCGTGGGAGGGTCCCTGCTGTTAGCTGGACCAAGTCCCTTAGTCTCTCTGCGGCTCGGTTCCCCATCCCTCCAGAGGGGAGAAGCACAGACTGGGGGGAGGACGCTTGGGGACTCTGCGACGGGCTGGAAGGGACCTCAAGGTCCCCCCGTTCAGTGCCCCCGGGCTGGACTGTCGCTGGATGCAGCTGGCCTAGAGACTTAGGCTGATGGGAAGGGGAAGCTCTAGGATCCAGCCTGTGGGATCTGGGAGCCCCGGTTCGCTGCCGAGGAGCGGGCAGCTCTGGTTGCCCCCAGCTCTGCCAGCCTGCCGGTGGCCTGCAGCGCTTGTCTCTCCCCTCTAGGACTACAAATCCCTCCAGGACATCATTGCCATCCTGGGGATGGACGAGCTGTCCGAGGAGGACAAGCTGACAGTGGCCCGCGCCCGCAAGATCCAGCGCTTCCTGTCCCAGCCCTTCCAGGTGGCCGAGGTCTTCACTGGCCACGCGGGCAAACTGGTCCCTCTGAAGGAAACCATCAAGGGCTTCCAGGAAATCCTGGCAGGTGAGGTGCTGGGGGTGGGGCTTATCGACTCTGGCTAACCCAGCCCTAGCAGTGGGGGGGTGATGGCTGCGGCCCATGGAGACTCCCAGCTGGGAGGCTGGGCCCACCTCTGGTGCTGCAAGCAGGGCACTGAGGTACATGGCCGCCTTGCTGGGCTGCCTGGCAGGGGCTTGGCTGCTCTTCGAGCTGGGGGGGGGGGAATAGAACAGCCCCCTCCTCCCTGAGATGATTCCTGTGAAGCTGCAGGGACCTTCCCCAGCTGTGTAAAAGCCCTGGTGTTTGCTGCCCCCTTGTGGGGAGTCCCCCTCCTCACTGCTGCCCCTTGCTCCCTGGTGCGCAGGCGTCTACGACCACCTGCCGGAACAGGCCTTCTACATGGTGGGCCCCATCGAGGAGGCTGTGGCGAAGGCGGACAAGCTGGCCGAAGAGCACTCATGAGCCGCCGGCTCCGTCGTGCCTCTCCCCCACCGCATCCCCACCCGGCTCCCCAGGGCCCCAGCTGGGTGTCGTGTCGTGTCTGCAGAGTGTATTTAAAGTTTCCAATAAAACATCTGTCTTCAAACGTGAAGCAGGGTTGTTGTCACTGTGGGGGGAGGAGCTGCATGGGGCAGAGTTCTGGGTGGGGGGTGACAGCTGGATCAGTGTGTGTGTGGTGGTGGGGGGGGGATTCTAGGGGTGGCAGCATAACTTACAGGGCTAGTAAACGGTGCAACTGGCTTCCAACCCAGCTGATCCCTGGGCCTGGACTGCCTCCTTCCCTCCCTGGGCTCCCTGTGCCCTGCGGGGCAGCTTGTCCCAGCCTGGCTGATGCGTGGGGCCTGGCGGCAGCTAGGACACACACTGCTGAGTCATTCATCTCCGACCCGGAGCTGCTGTCGCTCCTGGCTGACGCCACCCCCCAGCGGAGATGCCACCGTGCCCAGCTCCTGCCCACGGTTAACTAGCGGGTGGGGGGGATCGGCCGAACTCGGTCCCCTGATGGCTGGGGAAGGCGAGGGCCTGAGATTTCAGAGCCTCCTTGCTGCACATGTTTGCAGGAGAGCAGCTTGGCGGATGCTTCTGGGGC